TTTATCGTTTTCTTCAACAATGTAACTCGTTGTATAAATTCCAAACCTGAGAAATGATAGAAAATAAGTGGTTCTGTTGGTATAAAAAGTGTGAATAAAATTACGATTTTTGAATACCATTATAAACAACATTACTCACCTGCCGTTTTTGTTGTCCGAACTTTATTTGTGGCTCCGGACAAACCTTAGATTACACTTTTACTTCATCAACTTCGTTTCAATCTGTTTTTTTAAAACTAAATTTTGTGCAGATTGCTGTTATTTGTGCAACGCCTTCAAAGTATAACAACAGCCTTACTTTTTTCAGGAATAAAATAAGAGAAAAGTTTTCTGCAGTTCACAAATTTTTTTTTTTTTCTGTTCAAAATAAAGTTGTATTAACAATTCAAAGAATCTTTGAAAGCTTAATTCTCTCAAAAAAAACTAATATTTTATACGAAATAAAAGTTTTTTTTTATAATCATCTATACCAATACTTTTGCTTCGTTTACCTAACGAACCACACTCTCGGCTAATCGTAAATCGAATTTAGGCATAAAGCACAACTAAGAAATCTTGCTTTCATGAAAACAAATTTTTTCAAATTATGCAAAATTTTACTCATTTCTTGTCGTCACTGTAAACAGAAGTTGAACAATGCACCTTAACTTCTTGTAGTGATTCTTGAAAAGAACTATCAGAAATAAATTGCTTCTCTATTCTGTTTACTTGAAAAGCTGAATTTGTCATAAGGTTTGAAAAAAACTTTTTTCCTTAGTTTTCTGTTCCTCATTTAACCGCTTTTTCTCAACCAACTTCAGTAAACAATCAGCAATTTGAAAGCCCAAAGAAAAAAATTATACACTTCCATTGAGTAAACCTGTCATGCAGCCAAAAAAACCTTAAACTTTTTTTATAAACTGCAGGTGAGATTCCAAAGTAACGACAACAGCACCTCCTCCAATAGTATCATAACTTTTCATCAGATTAGACGTTGGATCATCATTGCCGTTCTTCTGTTTATCAATGAATTGCATTCGGTTTACACTTTTTTGTTCACATTATTTTACCGAATCACTTATTATTTTTCACTACACATTGATGCATCAGCACCGTTGACATTCATCTAGAAAGCCTCAGAAGAAACTTTCAAAGCCAAAACTTTAAATTTTAATGAAACACATTTGCGAGGCACCCTTAAAGCTTTAAAATGTTCAAACAAAATGATTACAATCACGAATGCGATGTTTAAGACGACGAGCAGAAATAGCAATTCATAAAGAAAAAAATTATTTGCCTAACTTAAGAAAAGTTGATGATAATTCAAACCAAAAAGCAGAATAACCAAAAAATTTTCTACCGGTCATAAGAGGCTTTAAAAAATGAAAAGAAAAAGCGACGAGACAACTGAGAAGATTAGTCAATCATTAGATGCAAATGAAGTTTTTCTATGTTCTAAGGAAAAAATGGTATTTTAAAACTTCGAAAAAAGATTTTTTATTTATGTAGACGAAAAAGTTTTTGAAATAAACTTGTGCTTTTTAGATCAACTGTGGTAATAACTCCTTTTTTATTCATTTTTTTTTCTTTTTTCAAAGAGACAAACTTTTGAACCCTTCAAAAAAGGTAACCCTCTAAAAACAATGAAGAAAGCCGATGAAGAAGAATAGAGTCTTTTGGCCATGAAAATATATAGTCAAAGATGAATCACCAATATAAAGTATTATAAAACAGTGCTTGTTAGTTGAAATTTACAAACATCAAAAAAAACAACATCCTAAATTCCTTCTTCTCCCTTCCTTTACTTCAAAAACTTAAAAACAAATGTGGTAACACAAGAAAAAAAAAAAACGAAGGAAAAATTAATCAAAACAATAACTGAACGATGGAAAGAAAAAAACGCGGAATATTTTTCTAATGATTAAAATTGTGAGCCTATTTTGATAAAATTTTTTTGCTCAATTAGACATCATCAAAATTACGCCGCTGCATCAGCTGAAAAAGGTTAAGTGCAAAAAAAAAAAAAAAAAA